ATGCGCTGAAAGCGGCTTTGCAGCTCTCAAGAGCTGGGTGGGTCTGCCTGTACCTGGAGATAGACTGAAGCAATTTGCCGTAGTGAAGGGTAGTGTCACATTTTCTTTAGCAGTACAGTTAGCTATTGGTAGGGCTACACTAAAAAATAAAATCACTATATACAGGAAGCTGTGTGAGGAGCAGCTGAAGTCACTTGGTTTGTTCAGCGTGGAGAAGAGACTGAGGGGAGACCTCATCGCAGTTTACAGCTTCCTCATGAGGAGATGTGGAGGGGCAGGTGCTGATCTGTGCTCTCTGGTGACCAACGATAGGACCCCGGGAATGGTACGAAGATGTGCCAGGGGAGGTTTAGGTTGGATGTTAGGAAAAGGTTCTTCACCCAGAGGGTGATCGAGCACTGGAATGGGATCCCCAGGGAAGTGGTTACGGCGGCAAGCCTGACAGTATTCAAGAAGCATTTGGACAACGCCCTCAAGCACACGGTGTGAATTTTGGGGTTGTCCTGCGCAGAGACAGGAGTTGGACTTGATGATCCTTGAGGGTCCCTTCCAACTCAGGACATTCTATGATTCTATAGCTAGCTAAAAGTACCTACCCGTTTTTTTTTTTTATTTCTTTTTTTTTAACCCAATCTTAACCTGTATTCCTTTAGTTACCTTATTTATACCAGAAATGCTTGTACTTGCGTTTCTAAGGGGTGAACAACTGCATACAAGGCAGAAGTGAGTGAGAGGTGACAGCTGGGAAATTCTAGGTTTAGCCCTCACTGTCAAAATTAGTGTTTCTTCAAGTTATGCTGGGAACAGATGTGAATAGGCTAGAGATCTCATTGCCTTTCCTTCTGTGCTACATTACTCAGCAAACACATTGAAATGCAGAGACTTACTTTTTTCGGGCTCTTAGGAAATTTACTGAATTCATATAGTCTCTTACGCGTTATTTTTCAGTGTCCTATAATCAAATATTGTAGCTTTTGAATGTTACTTTAAAACCTTTGCTCTATGGAAAAGGAACAATAAATGCAATTCTGTTTCACTGTGTGATGAAACCTCCTTAAGCTCATCCAGAACAGATTGCTTCTGTAAAGGCAATGCTGCTTATCATTTTCTATACAGGTATGTATTAAACCTAATTGATGCCCACATTTTACAAGCTAAGGAATTGACCATTGGTACAGGTAAATATGGATTAGTGCATTCTTTTTGTATTGGCTTTCCTTAAGATGGCTTCAAAATCTTATCTGTAAGGCCCAGGCTGGGAAGTGGAGAGAAGATGAGAAGGAAATCTGGCTTATCTGGTTAGTAATTTAGATTTTGAAAAACCTGAAAGGCAAGCAAACCTATCTGAAATACTACATCTATGTATATCTTTTGGATAGGCTAATATTATATGACCTGTAGTTCCAAAGGTAACGCCTATCCTTTAACTGGCACGTTTTGATTTCTATTTGTTACAATGGGATGGTAAAAATAGTAGCAAGTTTAGAACTGGAATGTGAAAAATATGTGCACAGTGAACAACAAATGCCTCAATTTGCCCGGTTCTGAAGCAATTTGTGAGATAATGTATCACTGATATTTACAGTTCTGTCTTTTATGAAGAGGAGCAAAATAAAAAATGCTGGGAAGATGGTTTCTAATAAAAGTACCTTTTATTAAATTCAGGAAAGCTACTTTATTGTTGGTCACTTGTCTTCTGCTTTAGATATAATCCGTACTATCCGGGACCCGGAGAAACCTAATACTTTAGAAGAACTGGAAGTGGTAACAGAAAGCTGTGTTGAAGTGCAGGAGATAGGTGAAGATGAATATCTGGTTATCATCAGGTTTACACCAACAGTACCTCATTGTTCTTTGGCTACTCTCATTGGTAAGATTTCTGTTTCATTAAATCTGTAACGATGAGCTTAAAGTTAATTTTAGATTATCCAGATAGCATCAGTCTTAGTTAAAATTCAGTATTGCTTTGCCAGCAATTTGACCAGGGATTTCATCTTGAGAATCCTCCTAGCAATGCAAACAAACAAAAAAACAGAAGAAATGTGGGGACATCCATCTGTTTTTATCAAGTTAGGGAAACTCTTCAAAGAGAAGCTCTCAAAAATCTACTAGGAAGTGCTACAGAATTCCTTCTTTATTTTCTCCAAATTATTTTGGTAGTGTTAAATTGAAAATTGGTCAGCTCTTACGTTCAAAAAAATGTTAAAACTTCTTGATTGTTTCCCTTTCCCTTATCTTATAGGCTGTTCTCCATGCCCGCACATGTACAAAAAACCCCACATGCAATCCAGGAATACAAAAAAAGAGTTCTGAACTGTTAGGAGTTTGAAAGCAATTAAGTTGAATGAGAATCTACACTGGCTTATTTTGCTTTTTATTTTTCCTTATTATTTGTGATGAGATTACATCTGAAAGATCACATCTGAGATGTCTGAAATGATTTGTTTAAATGTATCAAGGTTAGCAACTCTTACCATTATATATCAATACTAAGATTTCTTAGTCTGTTTTAAATATTTAAGGGAAAGTAAGTCTTTAATGAAGAAGTACATGTATTTATGCCCAAATAAGCCTTTGCAGCTTTATGTAGAAAGTAAAGCATTAGCATGCCAAACAGTAATAATGTATTTATATTTTGACCCCATTAGGAGCGTCAGTGGGTTAAGGCTCAGACCTGAGGATCAATGATGTACATGTTAAATCTTAAACTTTGTGCTAATCATGTTCTCAGGACTTAATTGTCAGCCAGATCTTTGTCCGTTTGATTGTGCAATCGTTACCAGTATTGTGTGACCTCTGAAGCACAGTTCCTCATGCTGTTACAGGAAAGGGTTATGGTAACTGTATTAAATAGTTGGGTAATATATGGAAGAATGTAGGCAGTAAACAGGTCTTTCCCCCCCAACTTCCTTATCTGTACAGAGTACTCGAAGCTGGTAGTTCTTTTGGGGAATATTTTCCGTTGCTGTTACCACTGGCTCAGCCTGAGGACAAATTGGGGCTGTGGTGCAGCTTTGTCCATGGGTAGCTTCGTGGCAAAGCCAGGCCTTGTGGGGAAACTGCAATGGGCTAGTGCTAGGGGTGTCCCCAGGCTTAGATCTCGCTCCCAAGGATGAACGCCACCACTCCTCTCCTCAGTCTGTACATTAGACATTAAATAGTGAAGTTATGAGCTTGAATTGCCCCCAAGTCATTGCAGGCTTGTATTCTTCAAGCAATTTATGTTGGATTTTTTTAACAAATGTTAGTAAACAAACCAAACATTCTTCCCAGTACAGGTGCAGCCACAGTGACAACTGGGAAGCTCTATCAAAAATGTAGAAGAAAGCTGGAAGTGGAGGAATTCGTCTGTATTTAGTGTTTCTAGGAGATGTTTAGAGACTAGAGACCTCCTAAGCTTGTAAGGCAGTTAGAGCTTAACTAAGAAGCTACGTCCAAAGGGTCAAACCACAAATTATTTAGTCTCCGCTGTGGCTTGTGCTGCTCAGAATACAAAAGGAGAAGGTTGTCAATTATACTGGTGGTTTTTGATCGTTAAATATGGGTTCTCTGAAAATGCACCTCTAACCTTGAATTTTACAGGAAAATCTCTTCTCTCTTTTGTTTGAACAGGCCTTTGTTTAAGAATAAAACTTCAGAGATGTTTGCCTTTTAGACATAAGGTAAAGTACCATTGTGGAACTTGCTTTAAACTACATAAATGTATGCCAAGTTCTCTTTAATAGAGTGTATGCTGCAGGATCAAGTAATGTGCAAGCTGTGGTTAAGGATGGGGTCTTAAAGCTGGTGATTTGCCTTTGGAGGGAGTGAATGTTGCAGTACAGTGTAGCACCTGAAAGGATCTGTGAATAACTGTCGTTCTTCCTTTCCTTTACAGAAGAGCATTTATTGCTGCACTTCTGAAATACACTGTGTTTCAAGGGATTTCCTCACTAGCTGTCATTTGGGTTCCTGCTTGGTGGAAGACAGGGTGTTTTCAAATCCAATGTTACAAAGAATGGAAGGCATACTCTTGCCTTGGGGAAAAAGAATTTGGCTTTCTGCAATATTTCAATATATCTAAGCTTCATACATATAAAATTTTAATAGTTACTGACTCCGCTGTACCATTTGGAATATCTGAGAGTTGTCTCCAGTGGACCAACCCTCTGTGAGCGGGCAGCCCTGGAAACGAGAGAACTACTCTGCTGTCAGTTTGAAACTGATTAAGGGGAATTCCACTACTTTATATTGGCATCATCTAGGAAGTAAAAACTTCGGAACAGGTTCATTAGAGTTTAGAAGAACTGCAGAATTCAAAACTGGAACTGCAGCAAGGGAATCTCGTTATGACCTGTGTCTTAGGAACTGTTGTATAGATGGCATACGGGCCTGACCCTGGTCAGCGTGCTGTCCCGAACAGGGGCCAGCCCTAGCTATGCTGCTGGAGTGTAAGAAACTATATAGGAAACAGAGGGTTAATATGGCCTTACAGAAAGCTGTTTGGGTCTTAGCAGGAGCTAAGAGTAGATCTTTAATGACAAACATGGTCTTTTATAGACCTTCAGAAACTTGCCTGAAATAATTTAAGTATAAATTGATTAGCCCAGGATTTCTGGTGTTGAATTTTTGTTGTTGTTTTGTTTTTACAGTTGCTAGCTTCATCTTTCCAGTTAAACAGTGTAAAGCGAGACTTGCATTTCTAGAAAATTAGGTAGACAATGATTTGTTATGCTGGGCATAGAGTAACAAATAGGTTTAGCTTCAGCTAAAGACAAGATAAAAGGCGTAGGATTTGTTTACTTGGTTTTCCTTTGGTACATCAGTTTTATGAGATCTTGCAGTTCAGTGTGTGAGGGGTTTTTTGTTGTTGTTTTTCCCAGGCCTGTTAAATGCATGAAGGTGATTTAGGTCTGTTTAGATTCTAGCCTTATAAACTCTTCCTATGCAGGAAATAGATACTGCATTACACTACCATTTTCAAATAGAATATCTGTGATTCTCATCATTGAGCAAAACTTATTAGAAATATCTTATTAGGAATCTCTTCCTAAGGATGTCTTTTCAAGTGTGCTTAGCTTGTGAAAGTGACACTTGCAATTCTGGTGCCTTTTAAACAAATTGTTCCTCAATTGTGGCCTGCAGAGAACTTGTTGAGCAAGTAGTGCCAATTCTCCACTCCGTTTCCAGTAGTCTAACTGCAATTACTTTTTCACAAGAGCAGTTGATACAGTGAGGAGTGAATGCCTTCACAATCTTGAAGAAAGATTATTGGGGCCTCTCTGAAAGGGGGGAGGAGATTGTCTTGTGATTGTGTTGCGGTGAAGTCTAAGATCAGCTCTTGACATCAATCCCCTTTCATTGTCTGTGAACATTTTTAGAAGTATGAATTACATGAATTGTATGTGTACTGTACAGTTTTTTTCTTCCAGTAACGAATATATTCAACCATTGATGTATTCATCTAATGTTAATGATCTCTCCTCTAGCTGGAAATCTACATATCTGAAGGTACACATTCCACTGAAGAAGACAGTAAGTAGAGCTTATGAATGAGTGCTGCTTTAGGCTCTGTGTTTGTGCTCTTTTGAGAAGTCCTTTTCTTCCACTGCCTTACTATCCTTTTCAGAAATGAATATACTGTTGAAGTATTAAAACGAAACAGGTAGTTGAGACTGTTTCAAAAGCTGAATTGGTATTGTGAAGGTATGCTTGTTGTGGTGGACATTAAAACGAAACAGGTAGTTGAGGCTGTTTCAAAAGCTGAATTTGTATTGTGAAGGTATGCTTGTTGTGGTGGGGGGGTTTTTTTTTAAAAAAAAAAAAAACCCCCCGGTTCTTTCAGGGGTTAAAATGGGT